TTTTGTTAAGTAGTATTAAATCTGTTCTGACTCATAGCTACCCTGTATAGGGTTTCTGAGAATGGCTGGTGAGTTTGAACTAACAACCTTATAGTTATACGTCTAGTACTTGTCCTACAATGTCACACCAGGAGTTCTAATAAAGAAAAAAATGCTCAGTACCTTACAACACGAAAAAAATTAAAACTTTAATGGACATAATAAACAAAGTTATTATTGTTGTTAAGTGTCGTCAAGTTGGTTCCAACTCATAGTGACCCTGTATAGGGTTTCTAAAGTGCAGCTGATGAGTTTGAACTGCCGACCTTATATGTTCACAGTCCAGTGCTGATCCTCCCACACCACCAGGAGTCCTAATAAAAAATAAATACAAATAATTCTACAATGTTCTTCCCATACTCTAAAGGATCATCCTTGCCCCAGGAGACCACCGCTCTATAAGCCCTCCTCAACTCTACAGCCTGGCATCGAGAGCAGCATCTCGGTAAGTGATTACTGAGTGAGGGAACCATATGGCATCCTTTCATCAGTGAGCACACCATACCCAATAGCTACAATGTCCAATAAGCTAGCCACTAGCCACATGTAGTTACTGAGTACCTGAAATGTATGCAATCCAAACTAAATGTTCTAAGTGTAAAACACACACTGGATTTCAAAGGCTAGGTGTAAAAACAAGGTAAATTATCTCTAAAAATGTTTATACAGATTACAGGTTAAAAGTGATTTGGGTTTAATTGGATTAACTAAAATATATTATTAGTATTCATTTTCTTTCTTTCTTTTTCTAAATGTAGCAACCAGAAAATTTTAAGGAGCTCTGGCAGTGCAGTGGTTACGAATCGGGCTGCAAACCTTAAGGTCAGCAGTTTGAAACTACCAGCTGTTCCATAGGAGAAAGAGGAGGCTTTCTAGTCCTGTAAAGATTTACAGCCTTGGAAACCTTGTACAGGGTTGCTGCGAGTCGGAACCGACTCTACCACACATCACAACGACCACAACCAGAAAATTTTAAATGACATGTGACTTGTACAATATTTCTATTTGAGAGTACCAATCCATAGCATTTAACATATACATCTCTACTAAATACATTCCTCTATCTTGCCCCTGGACTTCAGACCTACAAGCTGCTCCTTGGAAACCCTATACAGGGTTGCAATGAGTCAGAATCAACTTGACAGCACTTAACACCAACAGCAATAACAACAATCTTGCCTCTAGTAAGAGAATCAAAATGGAAATAAGTATTGAAAATAACACTGAATGAAAGTATTACAAAATAAAGCAGAAGTTGCAAACGAAGCGATACAAATGTTTCAACGTATTTCTTAAAATTGATCAAAATGAATAGAAGCCATATGGTCAAATCAAAGAAACCAGAATATATACCACCAGGTAGAATTAACTAAAGCAGAAAGAGTAAATAAATGTAAAAAGTAAAAGCTAATTTAATAACAATGGAAAACAAAATTAAAGTCTTATTATTTTTAAAAGATAGCAGATTAATTATAACAAATCTCATCAAGAAAAATAAGAATGCATAAACAAACATCATCAGGAATTAAAATAAAAGAGAGCTAAAGAAAAAAAAAAATCCTCTAAACTATCTATCCACATCTGTGTTAACTGCGACAACTGTGTGGAGGCAAGAGCCCTGGAGGTTCCCTTTTAATTCCAAAATATTCCAATTTGGGATAAAACACAAACGCCTCAGGCTCTGGTTGAGAGTACCAAATGATTTGAAAGATTCTAAAATGCTAAGTGGCTAATAATATCTATTGTGGAGTCCTGGTGTGGCACTGTGGATTAATGCACTGGTCTCTTTGAATCACAATTTTGGCAATTCAAGCTCACCAGCTGCTCCTCAGAAACCCTATACAGAGTTGCTGTGTGTGGTACTGACTTGACAGCACTTAACAACAATAATATCTATTGTAAAACAAAACTTTCCCATTAAGCTCCAAGGTTCTGGGTCTATGTAAAATAAGAGAGGTTATGAACACCACCTTCCATCATGGCAGAAGCTCAACAGAAAGCTTAAAGAAGGTGCACACTAGTGCTAACTTCAAGAACAATACCTCCTGTCCAAATATTCTACATTCTAAAAAGATATATTTAAAAGACATTAAGTTCTTCTTCATGTCAAACTGAGTCAAAGTGGAGGAAATAAGTTTTCACAAAGGTAAAAACTATAGGAAACAGACTTTAAGTTAACATAAACAGACTGGGGACCATGTAGACGGTACCTGTGGATACTGACATCAGCACATTCACTGGACAATGTCCCTCACAACCTTACTTCCACCAGGCTCCCAACCAAAGGAGATGGTATTCTTGTATTGGTCTTTGTCCACTTCTTTAGGGCAGAAAATCAACTAGTTGAAAACTTGGTTTTTCTATGAAAGCCACTCCTAAAATCTATGTCTTCTAACATCCTGCTTTTGCTAGTTTGATCATTTCAGTTGTCTACAATTGAATATAAACATCGTAACAAAATTTAAAAGCTAACATAGACCCATTTCATTATTTATAAAAGTCAAAGTAGATGATCCCAAAGGATGCTTTCACACTAAAAAGTCTTTTGGACCCAGTTTCCCCTGTTCTAAATTAACTCCCCTTGTAAATTTCCCCATTACTGAGACAAGATAAAAGACACCAACAGGCTCTGCAACTCATCAGACAATGGTGACATGAGATGATTATGAGCGTGGTTAGGGGCATCTCTAATATGTGCCTCAAAATACTAGAAGTTTATCAACATTCTCCCCTCTGAATATTTTAGTATAGAACTTCACCTTTTGCTAACGTTTCTCAAACCTGTATAAATCATACACCTATTGGAGTGAGGCATCTCTTTTCATATTTTAAAAATGTTTTCCTATGGCACTTCAAGGAGTACTTCTAATGCTTGTATTTCAAGATTTAGAGAAAAAGCTCATATGAATCTCATCCATGCCTTCCGAAACCAGTCTTTATGCAAGGGTAAAGCAATGCTCTTGATGTTTGTGATTTTAGTTTCCTGGTGATGCCAAACCGCCCCCCTCATTTTCTGCCCCAATATTGATTATTTGGCAAAAATCATTAAGGAACTTGAACATTAGATTGTTTCTTTTTCTATGCTATAAGATTTTTTTATGTTTTTATAAAGTTCTTCTCATAGCTCAGTAGCAGTCAATTATTAAGAGAATTTAATGTTATCTCCAAATTCCACTGGCACTTCTACTGGAAACTGCTACTTATGTTGATCTGAAACCTATACCTACCACTGGTGAGTGGATTGGTTTCTAGAATATGAGATAAATTCCAGCACGAAAAACCTGAACAAAATTCCTGAACATTGTTCTCAGCCAAGTTGAAAACATGATGGAAGCATCCATCCAGACTTGAGGCATTAACACTTCTGGAAAACAGAATGGTTTTCCCTAACATAGATCCCACCACCTCCAGAAACTGTTTCTTTGGTTTTCTTCATTGCTGTCAGCACTGTTTTAGTTAGGACATATTTCTCAGCTAAACAATCTCATTAATCATGATTGGGCATGATGGTTAAGAGTCCATATGCCTAGGTTCAAATCCCACTTCCACTGTTGGCTGTTTGTACGACTTTGGTAAATTACTTAATCCTACTTTAGTCTCCTCATCATTAAACGCAGCTATGGACAGTACCCACCTCAAATAGCTGTTAGAAGGTTTAATGAGGTGATGACTATAAAGTACTGGCACAGTGCCTAGAACAGAGACCAAGTGTTAAATACTGTAATATTATTGTTCTTAATAGCCTCCTCGCTTGTCTTCTGCCACAAGGTTATCATCTTTGTTGATCCATCTTCCACGTTACTACTAGCTAACATGTACTTCCAAAAATATTCCTTGATTATAAAATACTTATTTCATTTTTAAAAACTTCTTAAAAACACATGATGGGGAAAAATCATTTAAAATCTGACCACAGAGACAACCACTGTTAATTACTAGGATCTATTGTGGTGCTGCACAAGGCACTCTGCACAAGGAGCTCTGGTAGCATAGTGGTTACGAATCAGGCTGTGAACCTTAAGGTCAGCAGTTCGAAACTACCAGCTGTCCCACAAGAGAAAGATGAGGCTTTCTGCTCCCATAAAGATTTACAGCCTCAGAAACCCTGTACAGGGTTGCTATGGGTCTGAATCGACTCGACAGCACTTAACAACAACAACATTGTGACACTGTGGCACTGCACGTCAATGTGCTGGACTTCAACGTTGGTTTGAACCAGAAGGTCGGTGATTCAAGCTCACTAGCCACTCTTAAGAAACTCTATACAGGGTCAGAACTGCTCTACAGAACTTAACACCAACACTGCCTCTTGGTATAGCACTTGCACCAGACTGCTAACTACAAGACTGGGGGATCAAACTCACCAGCTGTTCCTGGGAAAGTCTATATAGGGTCGCTATGGGTCAGATCCAACTCAACGGCACTTAACAACAACAACAACACTGCCTTCTAGCCTTGCTTCTCAAGTAGGTGAGATAATCATTAATAAGCCATTTGTTTCTGCTGTTTCCACATAAACATCTTTCCATGATGTAATACTTATTTATACAAGTTAGGTTTGGTTCTAATTTGGGTAAGTTTGCTAATACACAAATTGGGGCAATAAATGGTTGATAATGATGGGAACCTGTGCTTGCCTATTATCCCTTGCCCACTGTCCATCTCTCCCATTTCTCCTTTGCCAAAGCAACAACTGTCAACCACTGCTGGGTATTTCAGATGCCGACAGTCCATTCCCTGCAGTCTGCCCACTGGCTTTAAGCAAAGATTATACCCACCTCTACTGACATGGCGCAGACCACACAGAAGCATTGTTTTCACAATCCAGGAGCTCAGTTTTGTGTCCCCAGCTCCGGCATGGTTGTTGGCACACAATAAATATTTGCCAAATGAAAGACAGAGACTAGAAACCCAAGCCAGGGCCCAGTCTTATGCCCACTCTGACACCCAGGCTGACTTACCTACGCAGTCACAGGTGGGGAACTCGGCCTGTGCTCTCTTGGCTGGCGTGTCAAGTAGACTCTTCGTGGGTGTGTCCAGGTACTTTAGAGGCGACTCCAAAAAGCCACTGAGAGTGGGTGTGAGAGGGTTCTCGGCCTTGGTGGGTGTGGCCTCCTGGGCCCCATCCTCTGAATGGAAGCAGGTGGTTGAGAGCACAGTCACAGCACCTGAAGACTCAATCTTGATTTGCTTAGGGGAACGGGTAGCAAAAGGGCTCTCAGGAGCCAGGAGACACGTTGGTTGACTCTCGGGGTCCTGAATGGGCACAGACGGGGGGCCGGGAAGCCCAAAGCTATCCACAAATTCAGCCTCAAACTGCCGGAAGAGCTCTTCTAGCTTATCATCAGCAGGGGGAAGAGGGCCAGTGGAGCCCGCCTGCAGGGTGGCCATGGGGCTGGGGGACCTCGTTTCCTGAGTAGGGGGCAGCAGGCTGTCCCCAGAGGGACTTGGTGCAAATAGCGCAAGAGAAGGTTCTGGGGGCAGAGGGACAGCAGAGCCCTGTGAGGTGGGGAGAGGAGCAGGTGGCTGTGCCTGCACTTCCTCAGGGGCCGGGGACCTCAGTCCTTCCAGGATGATCTGCCGGAGGGGTAGGAAGAGGGGCTGCGTGTCCCGAAGCTTGGACTTTTTGATCTGAATGGGCTTTCGGACAGTGGGCTTGATCCCAGGGGCAGCTTTCTCCGTTCCCATGGGACCTCCAGAGGGTGCCAGGGGCTTCTTCTTCTTCTCTTTGGGTGCTTTGTCTGGAGGACGAGGGGCTGGTGAGCTTGGTGGGGCCCACCAGCCTGAAGCAGGAGGCTCAGTGGGTGCAGGGAAGGCGTTGTCGTGGGCCTGTTCCAGAAAGAGGCTGCGTTTGTGGTGAAGGTGCTGCTGGAGAGCAGCCTGAGCCTTCTGGTGGCTGTCAGCCTCAGAGCGTGGGGGGGCAGCCTCCCTCTGGAGCAGGGGGGATGGGGCTGAAGAGGAAGCAGGAGCCTCAATCTTGATCTTGGGCTTGGTGGGGAGCGCTTCGGGCCGCTTGAATACTGATTGGATATAATCACTGGCGCTGCCCAACAACTGCTCCAGTTCAGCCATGGGGTCAGGGTTTGGGCGCGGCATGGGCCAGGAGTTCCGGGGTGTTGCTGGTGGGGTGTCAGTGCCCCAGGCTTCAGGAAACTCAGTTCTAGGAGTTGCTGGCGGGAAGGGAGGACCATCAGGAGCAAAGGGTGGGTGCTCTTCAGAGGGGACCACAGGCCAGGAGGGGGCCCGGAGGTAGGACTGGGGGGATCTGAAAGGAGCAGGAGGGGACAAGGCCTCAGGCAGGGGGCATGAAGCCTGGGAGGTGGAGTGAGAAGGCTGGGGGAGGGCAGAGGAAAGCTGTGTGAGGGCCTCAATAGCAATGGCTGTCTGCAGGCTGATGTTCTTCTCCTTGGCAATGCTCAGGGCACTCTGGGACAAGGGCAGGCCCTCCGGGGGAGGTATCTGAGGAACCTCAGCACTTAGGAGTGGCCGGGTGCTTGGTGCTGGGAGGCCGGCCTCACTGGGAGGCAGAGTCCCTGGGAGCCTGGGCCGCTCCTCCCCACCCTCCACGACCACAGACTTGATCTTCCCCTCCAGCCACTCGAGGTAGTCAGGACACTCTGGGCCATCGCAGTTGCAGTTGGGTGGTTTCATGCCATGCCGCGCAAGGGCCAGGGCTGCCTGCAGCGTGTCCAGGTCTTCGCTGCCAGCTGAGCAGCCCTCGGGCCCCGGAAGGGGTCCCCTGCTGTTGTTGCCAGCCTCCCGACTCATCTCACGGTTGAAGGTTTCATAGAGCCGGGTGCTAAGGGCCCCATAAGAGGACACAGCTTCGGCCACAGCCGAAAAGGCCACCAGATCGTGAGCATCTTCCAGACGAGCAGTATGAGTTGGACCTGGGGCAGCGTCCCAGTCAGACTTCTGGTCTACCCTCCAGGGACCCCCAGTCCCCAGCAGACTGGGCCCAGCAGGTTCTCTAGCACCATTGACGGGCGCCCCTGAGGCGCTTAGCTGCCGTGAGTCCCCATGGTACACTGTTCCTGAGTCCATCTGACCTGGAATGGGTCCATCAACAGGACTGAGTTCTGAGCCTGTCTGGAGAGAGCAAAATAAAGATGGAAAAAGATGAGCCAAGATCTGACACTGGAAAAGCACTGCACTATTCTACACCATTCACAGGCACATCTAAATCCAAATTCCAATTTTTCTTGTAAAATCTCTCTCAATCCCTAGTACAATCTCCTAAACCTCAGTCCATCTTCCTATATTCCCTTGCTTCATCAGCAGAAATAGAAATAGGAAGCAGATCTTTAAGAACCCCAATGTGGAATTTTGAATGGTTCTCTGACCCTTTTTAGAGTTTCAGGTCAGGTACACAGATGTGGTTCCTTTGAAACGAAGCAGTTTGTTAAAAAAAAAACAAAAAAACAATAACCAAAGTGACACTAGGACTATGTTTGCTGTCAGGAGGGAAACAAAGCTAATCTAACCAACTATGTAACAATGTGGTGTATGGTATGAAGTGTGTGTGTGTAGGGGTAGGGAAAGGGAAACTCTGGAGAACAAATTCAGTCTGGACCAGGGGTCAGCCATAAGCTTCTTGGTGTAAAGGCACCCACAATTCTTTTTCAACCCCACTATTTTATTCTCACGTGAGCCCAGGATGAGCTCAGAGACCTGGTAACTAGACAACATTCCCACTCTCAGGAAACACTGCATGCATTTAGCCCCATGCCGAGCCTGTCATGCCCAACACAAGTGAGTGGCTGCATGGATGAAGACCCACTCTCACCCCAAGCCCTCCAACTACAGATACACATAATGTTCACAAGAGCACAAGAAGTATGGGGGAACACAGAGAATGGGCCCAGGAGGGCCTAGTGCAGCAAGTTAGAAGCCAATACAAAGACATGAGATTGAATTAGTAAGATTAGTCCCTCAGAAAGGGAAAGCAAAAAAGAGAAAGAATGGCAGATTCAGTTCTCAGTGAATGCTAAAACTAGGGGTGAACACTTGATGAGGTACAGGATATATACATGATCTCAAAGTATCTCCTTGAAAACTACTTAATTACAGTAGTAACTTTATAGTAAAGAAATCTGGCAGACACTACTTTAACCAAATAACCAAAGTGATCAGCATCACCAAATCGGGACAAACCAACATTCATGTGTCCCTTGATGTGATATCCTGCCAAGATGCATAACCTGAATCTAATCGTACCTATTATTCTCTTTTGAAATTTCAAAGTCAGGCAAGGCAAATGAAGGCTTCCCCCAGTGACATGAGACTAAATTTAGAGACAGAACAGCCGTGTGCATGATCATAGATTAGATCGTAGAAAGGGGACAAAATAGTTCTAAGTACATTATTGGGAAATTGATAAAGTGTGAATACAGACAGGATAAGAATATTGTGTCAATCTTAATCATCTTGATTTTTGGTCACTGTCCTACAGTTATGTAAGATAATATTCTTGTGCTTATGAAACACCCACATAAGTATTTAGGGATAAAAGGATACAGTCTTTCCAATTTAATCACAAATGGGTCTGAAAAAATATGTATATATAAAAACATGCACATAATGACAAAGAGAATGCCATATGCAAACACTGGGATGTATGAACATCCATGTACTAATCTTCCAACTTTTCTATAACTTTAAAGTCCTATCAAGACCTGCCCCTCTCCCTTCTTCTGCGCTGCCTACAGAGAAGGAGCCATCTCCGCCAGGATCACTGCTGCTCCCATACCCCTGGTAAAGCCCAAGATCATAAAAAAGAGGACCAAGAGGTTCATCCAGCAACAATCAGACTGTTATGTCAAAATTAAGCAAGCCCAGAGGCACTGAAAACCTCCATATCATCAGTGAAAACAAGGCCAGGGGCAGGCTGTGGAACAGACCATCAATTACTCATATGCAAATTCAAACTGAAGCTGAAGAAAACGAAAAAAAAGTCCACGAGAGCCAAAATATGACCTTGAGTACATCCCACCTGAACTTAGAGATCATCTGAAAAACAGATTTGATACATTAAACACTAAAGACCAAAGACTAGAAGAGTTGTGGGATGACATCAAGAACATCATACGTGAAGAGAGCAAAAAGTCATTAAGAAGACAAGAAAAGAGGAAAGGGTCAAAATGGATGTCAGAAGAGACACTGAAACTTGCTCTCCAAGCGTAGAAATGCTAAAGCAAATGGAAGAAATGATGAGGTCCAAGAGCTGAAGATAAAACCAAATATTATAATAAAATGTGTAAAGATTTGGAATCAGAAAACCAAAAAGGAAGAACACACTCAGCATATTTCTCAAGCTGGGAGAATTGAAGAAAAAATTCAAGCCTCGACTTTCATTATTGAAAGATTCTCTAAGCAAATTATTGAATGATGCAGAAAGTATCAAGAGAAGATGGAAGGAATACACAGAGTCACTGTACCAAAAGGAAACGGTTAATGTTCAACTGTTTCAAGAGGTAGCATATGATCAAGAGCCAATGATACTCAGGGAGGAAGCCCAAAGTGCATTGAAGGAATTGGCAAAGAACAAAGCACCAGGAATCGATGGAATAAAAATGGAAATCTTTCAAGAAAGTGAGGCGGCACAGGAGGCACTTACTCATCTATGCCAAAAAATTTGGAAGACAACTATCTGGCCAACTGATTAGAAGAGATCCATATTTGTGCCCATTCCAAAGAGAGGTGACCCAATGGAATGTGGAAATCATTGGACCATCTTTTTGATATCTCAAGCGAGTAAAGT